CTTACAAATATTTAACATACCTCTGACACTGAGGAAATTTCTTGAGCTGTCCTCCACAAAGTACTTAGCTCTGCTCACAAAGGTCTCAAGATCATAATCTGGCTTCTCTGTGATTCCCAAGAGAAATTCAGTTAGTTTCTTCAAATCTGGCAGTCTAATCAACATAGATGAGCTTCTACAGACCAGGAGCAGTCAGTGCTCATTAGCAGCAAGTAGAGGTTATTTGGAGGGGAAAGGGAACTGGCAAAAACAGTGGAATGCCCCAGTTTAACCAGCTGGGCCAGAAAAGACAGGGAAAAGTTGGCAGTGAGGAAAAAGTAACACCACTGGTACAGCATCTTGCATTGCTGCCCCAGCAGCACTTGACTCAGACAAAGCAAGCCGCTATCAACGTATAGAAGGTGGCCTGAGCTGGGTTTGCTGTTTCCCATACCTGTCTCAGTTCTCTGAGCTGTTCTATAACCTTCTCCTCCCATTCACTAATTTGAGCCATAACCTCTCGATAGCTGAACATGTGGGGAGAGAGTTCCTCTTCCTCATCCTTGGAGAGCTGCAAGAAACAGCCCAGGTAAGAACAGCAAGTTGTTCCCAGCTTTGAGTTCTGTTTAGCCACTGCACACACATACATTGAATTCAAGACCTGAGCCTTCTGTACTGGTCTCAATCTCCTCAGTCTCCATTTGATTCTGAGTTTCACTACCTCCATCATGAGGGCTGAGCTCTTTCACTCTGCAATAATTTCTCTTTATGCAGCATTCTCCAACACATAAGATGGGAATGCTTTCCAGCAAAATTTTTGATAACAATACTGCAGTTATGGGCAAATAATTAATCAGACAAATTAATAATTTCATTTACCCAAGAGGTTTTTGGTGACTTGGAGTTTTTTACTGATGCAGCAAGTTGAACTATTTGTACAGCACAGCTACACATTCAGTTGAGTTGGGAAGTGTATATGCCATTGGGTGAGACAGAAGGCAAAGGTAACAAGCTCTTCTCCTGTCACACAGTGATACATACACAGCATTTTTAATGGCTGAGTGTACTGACCAAGTCAGGGTTCTCTAGTTTTCAACCTCTTTTTACTTCCTCCACTTTCTAACCTATTTAAAACTGCTTAACATATTACTTATATTGACATGTTCTGTAATAGTTAATTTTAAATTATATCTACTTCTACAACAGTGGCTGTGCCACTTACAAACTGATGGTCATATATCATTGCATGATAATTGCTGAACCACAGGCTT